AAACCTGGCTCAATCTGTGATATGATATAGAAGCTTTAAGTTGTACAATACATGTTGGGAATGCTACAGTGAGGTATCGGCGCTTGTTTGGTTACCAAATCATACGCGCAAGGTGTGTGGCGCTATCGAAGTGTGCCGCACGGTGCAGATTATGCCTTGCCACTGGCAACGTGAAGTTTGGAGAGGGAGCTGACAAGTGGGACTGCGTAGAAAGCATAGCCCACCCAGACCACTGGATAAGATACGCAGTTAGAGTCACGAAGAATGATAGCTTTTTGGACCACACTTACTAACGAAGCCATTACTGGTTGCAGCAATGAGATCCGGGGCTTCACTACCGAGTTTGGAGATATCAGTGTTAAAGTCGTCAACAGCTTTCCAGAACCACATGAAGAGTACAAGAAAGGAGGTGATGCCTGTGCGCAAATGTTAGTTCAATAATCAGGGTACGGATTCATTGACTTACCGATTATGAATCCAAGGAAGCCGATCCATGCAGTGGCACGTTGGACGTTAGGTCGCTCAAATGGTACGCCAATCTTACCCAACGCGGCGCGATGAGATGTGAGCGTATACATGATAATGAATATGAACATGAGTGCCAGAGAGACGGCAATGAACGCGGGAGTTGTGGCAGTGGGCGCATTCAGGAGGTCTGGTGCACTTGGGGGAAGCACCGCAAGATCTAATGGAGGGAGCGATCAGACATTTGCTCTATCTCGAGATGAGTGGCTTGCGTACTATACGTTGGTGACACGGTGGGCAAAGTGCAGGTTACTGCGGACTCTTGGTTGGGGCGAGAGCAGGAGCCTAGATGGAAAGTCAAGGAAATGAGCTATGAGGTAGGCAGGACTGGAAGCACCGTGACGTGCATACGCACCAAGAGCACCTAGGAAAACACTAGGTCCGTCTAATAACGACGTAGACGAGCTCGAATTGGTCTGAATGAGGGAAGTTGATGGCGACACGGTGATCAGAGATACTTGTGTTGAGAGCATCAGGACGGGCGATAAGTAGGTAAATAGAATGAGAAGGAAAGCCGTCAAAGCAAGCAAAGGAGCGAGAATGATATTGACAGCTCTAGAGAGACCAGCGATCATGATGAGTATCTGTGAATGGAGAGTGGGATTAGGCCGGCTAAGAGAAATAATGGTAAAGATTGATTATAGTCTCGACGATGAATCCAAGCTAACCGGCTGCTTCCAGAGCGAGGTGGGTACGGTTCACGGAAAGAAGGGTCCCGCCTTATAAAAGGATCTGCAGTTGTCTTATTTTCTCACCATGTCTCAAGAGAAGCACCGAGATAGAACAATAGATGGATAAAGGCCATCTATTTCAGTGTAGACAAGTACCATGCCGGTGGCGGTAACGAAGGAGTCGCTAAGCGCCCTTATTATTGTCCTCATATGGCCATGTGGGCGCTCGCGAGGCAAGAAAACACAAGTGTTGCAGATTGGTTACAGAGTCGTCGCGTACACCGCTCCATCACAAATGGTCGCTACTTAAGTGGGTCTAGACCGAAACGTACATGCGGCGCACCCAACTGTCACAGCGCACCCGAAAATTACGTGTCAATGTGTCCACAACGCGTGTAATTTGACGACACTTCTAAATTGCTACCATCAAGATGCAGTGCAGGGCCTTGTTATTGCGGAGAAGCTCACAAATACGAAGACAAAGATCCAGGAGCACGAAATGACTTGTAGTGAGACGTGCATGCTTGGTGTCCGCTTCACGCAGAGGCACTCTTTCTATTCTTGAAAAATTGCGAAAAAGGCTGTGCAGTATGCGATGTTTTACGCCGAGCCAGCGCGAACGCCGATGGAATGAGATCCCATCTTGCGATGATCGAAGAGTGGGAGGAGTGTGACGAAGCCGTTGGTCAACACGACCAAACAACTTTCGAGGCCATCCCGATCAGGCAACGAAATTTAGACACTCTGCGTCCAGCTCGACTAGTCCAATGGCGTACTCTGCCCAGGACTCGGCGACCCTCCCAGCCGAGATACAGACACTCTCCTCGTTCGTTCACCAGAAACCCCACGTACTTGCCACCGGAAACAACGAGCTTCAAGCGGCTGCCCTCACCGCGACCAAGTATGTGTACGATCTCGGTAAGTTGCTCTGGGTGCGTATCGACTCCTATTTTAATAGCATTCGGTCATCGCCGCAGCCATAAAGTCAGAGACACAGGCTCGCAACCAAATAGCCGAACTCCTTGCCTCGATATCCCCTGCTCTCGCACCTCAGACACGATCCCAAGCTGCCGCAGTGTCCAAATCAGGCCGCGGCTCAGATGCAGGTGCAACTGCAGATGTCCCTACCCTACAGAGCACTCCTTTGCCAGAGCTTTTTATCGAAGATATGAATGAGGAACAGATATGGGCACAGTTGGAACTTAGGACGCGGAACGTGTGCAACGTCTTGGATTTTCTTCTGGACGAACCTGACGAAAGTGAGGAATCTGAAGCTGAAGAGATGACATCCAAGAAGGTAAATACACCGAAAAATCTGCGATCCGGTAACGTGGATAGAGACATGGATTTCCTTGGAGACATGGATTTTGACAGTGAGGACGACACAGAAGAGAGTGATGACGATGAAGATGACGATGACGACGAGGATGGAGATGGAGATGACGACGAGGACGAGGACGAAGACGACGATGTTGACCTTGGTGAGGGTATAGTTGGACTACGTGACCCTTCCGACGAAGAAGACGAGGAGGACGTCGACCTCGATCGGCCTCCATTGTCTAGCAGGCAAAAGTCCCGACGGAAAACGAAAGTTGGCGGTCATTCACAACTTGATGATGGATTCTTCGACCTTGCTGCTTTTAACGCTGAAACTGAAGCAGCAGAGGCTCGTGGTGTCTCAAAAGGCCGTTTGAGCGGCAACGACAGTGATGATGAAGACGAAGAGATGGTCGATCTATTTGCACCCGTAGACGATACAGCAACTTTTCACGAAAATGGACTAGAGAGTAGTACTAGTGGTACGCATTCCTCATGAAAAGAGTAGATCACTATTAACAACTACCGCAGAGCCACTCTACAAAGACTTTTTTGATCCTCCCCCTCGTTCTGCACTTCCAAGTGGCGACAGGGAATCTCGCGCACGCGGAGGTGTCGCTCTTTCCAAAGGAAAGGTGCGTTTCCATGAAGAGGTAAGAGTGAGGAACATCAAGGCAAAAGGCAAGAATTTGCCTACCTCTATGATGTACGAAGAAGAAGAAGACGACGAAGACGACGACGATTACGAGGATGAAGAGGAGACTTTTGTGTTAGATGATACAAATGACGGGAGTGAAGGAGGGGAAGATAGTGATCTCACTGAAGAGGGAAGCTATGATGGCGAAAGCGCCGAATCTGCGGACGAAGAAGAGGAAGATGGACGAGACACGATGGATCGATTTAAAGATGACTTGTTTGCTGAAGAAGCAGAGGAATCTCAACAAGGTTCGTTCTTTGTAGTTTGATGTTTGGGTGCAAAATTCATGCCGCCTGTTTGCCGTTTGAGCAGACATGTCCAATTTCGAGATACGCATGATGGCACTTCGAAAAGAAATCGCTGAACTAGAGGCTGAGAGCGTGGCAAAGAAGAATTGGACCCTCATGGGTGAAGCAACATCTCGCTCGCGTCCACAGAATTCACTCCTAGAGGAAGACCTGGAATTTGAGAGGGCGATGAAGTCTGTACCGGTCGTTACGGAAGAGACGGTTCACAGTCTCGAGGAACGGATCAAGGCCAGGATAATGGAGAATCAGTATGACGATGTTGTACGGAAACGGCCTGTAGAAGATAAACCGTTTCTCCCCTCTCGATTTTTTGAGCTGCAGGACACTAAATCGAAACAATCCCTGGCTGAGATCTACGAGGATGAATATACCACAGCGCAGACTGGCGGGATTGCGGGCGAAGACAGAGATGGTAAGCTCAAGAAAGAGCATGAGGAGATCGAGAAGCAGTGGGAACAAATTTGCGGCAAGTTAGATGCGCTCTGCAATGCACATTTTACACCAAAAGCTGTACGCTGGTGCAATTCTCATAGTCTCAGTCCTGTCTGATTATTCGTTTTGAACAGCCCAAGGCAGCTATATCGACTGTGGCAAACGTCGCTGCTGCATCTTTAGAGTCCGCCCTTCCAACGGCTATGTCTACATCGTCCATGCTCGCGCCTGAGGAAATTTTCGCCCCTCCTTCCGCTGGCGACCTGAATTCCCGCAGCGAGCTCACACCTACTCAGAAACGCGCGCTTCGAACCAAGCAGAAGAAGGCGAAGAAGAAAGCTCGTGACTCCCTCGAGAAGGCTGTAGACAAGTTTGCACAGTCAAAGCGAGTTGCCGGGATCAAAAAGCAGAAGGAGGTTGCGTTGAAAAGTGTGGTCAAGAGTGGGAAGGGGGTCACAGTGATTGGAAAGAAGAGCAAGGATGTGACAGGGAAACAGAAACGGACAGAATCGCATCCTCGACGTACTGGATGATATGATTGATTCTAGTACTCGCAGCCATAGCTAATTCGCTGCGTGCTCTGGCATGGGGACGGATTGTATCTCCTTACACTGTGCACAGCGGATGTCAGGTATAATATTACATCTAGTGCCTCGCGCAGTGTGGACGGTCAAGTGCAATAAACGTAGACAAGTGCGGCGATAAAACGAAGGTTCGAAGCATCACACATGCCAAAACAGGATGCTCGGGCAACCGCCACGTGAGATGGACATCAGAATACAGGCCTGCGCAAAGTGCAGGCTGTACAGCACGCTCGTGACAACTGCTGTACCCATCTCTCCCTTTCCTTCCCAACCACCATCATGTCCTTCTTCAAGCGCAAAGAAAAGAACCTCATCCCACCTACCCCGTCAGAGCAGGCCTCCCGTAATGACCCCCTCAACCGCAGCAGCAACAATCGTTCGCCCAATCCTACTCCCGTGTATGCACGGTCAAATGCCAGCACCTACATTCCTAGCCGCGACGGAGACCCCTACAGCGCCCCGTACACTCCCTCATCAACCGCTAGCCCCAACGGCGATAGATATGCTAAGAAGGATGCTGTAGGGGATGTCTACACTCGCGGGCGAGGCAATGTCGACAACGATCGGAGCGAGCTGTTCTCTGGTTACAACGCCGAAAAGGCAGGTTCGGGCAGATTCTTCAACAACGAGCCCGCTGGGCCTGGACCCTCTCCCGGGGAGGAGAATGAGGAGGACATCGAGGGGATCAAGCAGCAAATCAAGTCCACGAAACAAGACAGTCTAGCGTCTACTCGTAACGCACTCCGGCTGGCCCGGGAGGCGGAGGAGACAGCCAGGGGCACTGTTGGCAAACTCGGAACTCAATCGGGTATGTCCACTCGAAGCGTCAATGTTGTGCTGGGCTGAGGTTCTGCGTGCGGCATGTAGAGAAGCTCGCTAACACCGAGCGGCACCTCGATGTCTCGAAGGGATATTCTCTTCGCGCGGAGGACAAGACGGATGAGTTGAAGCAGCTGAACAGATCTATTTTCCGTCCTGTCATTACGTTCAACAAAGACGCAAAACGCTCCGCGCAGGAAGCTAAAGTCCAGCAGCGCTACGAGGAGGAGCGGGAAGAGCGCGAGAAGACCATGATGACCGTCAGGGAGACGCAAGACCGGTTGGGTCGTGCTACAACATATGGTAGTCAGGGTAATGGCGCTGTTGGAGGAAGCGGTCGGTTCAACAGGACTGGGGCGGAGCTTAACGCGAGGAAGGAACAAAGGAAGCGATATCAGTTCGACGCGACTGCTTCTGATGATGAGTTGGAGGATGAGCTGGATGACAATCTGGATGAGATTTCAAGCATTACCAAGAATCTGAAGGCTCTTGGTACCGCGATGGGCCAAGAGCTCGACTCTCAGAACATGCATATTGATAGAATCACTGGTAAAGCGGACACACTTGACAATGCCCTGTTTAGAAACACTCAGAAGGTTCGTCGCCCTCGGGGTTGGTTTAAGATAATTTCTAAAATTGACCCTGAATTTCAGCTGAACAAGATAAAGTAGATGCTGGTGCATTGTTCGTTGAACCCTTGTATGCAATCTTCTGGTATATATCGATTCAAGTTCCCAATGGATGTTAGAATTGTGTATTTAGTGATGTTATGGATTAACGCGTGATATCTGGCACGGAAACAGATTTCAGGTCGACGGCGGGAGAGTAGGTCGTATAATACAGTAGGATAAAGCAAGAAAGCAAGTAAACACTGTCGACAGCAAAGAATAACTACAATATTGAAATTCAAATGTTCCACGTTAGAGCACATAAGAAAGTGTTAGATAGGCAAACCAAGAATTCATGTTTGTTGCGCATCTATTCGGCAATTTCAGAACCATCGGAGACAGGTGAAGAGCGATCAGGAGCTGCATCGTCATAGATCAGTAGAGGTGCTTGTCCTGCCATCCTCTGAAAGTTGAACCGCGTCAGTATCCGCCTGGATAACCATAGAAAGAAATTCAAAGAACCGACTTTGAAGGCAAATTTACACACTAAATATCCCTTGGGATTTAATCCCTTCTCCATCCAAGCCTAACCATGGCGTTTAGAGTGAGATGACAACACAATCAAATTGGCAACTCGCCTTTTCAACAGTATATAAACCATCGTATCGGTACCCTTCGTGGGGAGCATAGTCCGATTGCAGCTTGTAGCCACGGATTACACGAACAGGCTTCTTTGTTTCACAAGATTTCTGTAATCGATGCATAAGATGTACAAGACACAATCAATTAAGCGTTTACCTTCAGGGCTGCATTGGAAGGATTCTCAAACGACTGATCGCAACTCTGGGGCGCCGTGCGGAGCTGTTGAAAGCGAATTAGACCAACTGACAAAAAATCGGGTAGGCAAGCAGACATTTTTGGGGGCCGACTTCGTTCCCTTTAGGTCGCGACCACCTATGGCCATGGAAGTGAATATTCAGGGGGGAAATGGAGAAACGCTTAGCCCAACCTGCACCAGTGAAAGTGCTATACGTACATCGTAAGTCGGAGATGGTCACAGAATATTCAAAGTACTTACAAAGCATTTCCGAGGTCTACGTCGTCCTCGTATCCGCCCGACAAGGCTACAGAATAGGCACCGTCTTTGCTACCAGCAATGCCGGCTACCCAGGGCCTAGTGAAGAGCATTATGGCCAATTTCATGCAGTCAGCGATCAGGACTTACGCGTGAATCGCGTCTCGACTACACTCCTCCCTTCGAGTTGGATGTTAGAATTATAACAAGATATAGACAAACAAATGAATGAATAGCACCTCGTAAGCCACCAAGTACCAATTGGAATACCGGGAATTGCTCCGAAAGTCTTTCTGTAGACATGATCAACTGGGTATCGGCTCACCAAGCATTGTAACTTACGGGTCATGTGTTCTCCTGTTCGCACTTTTTGGTTCTGAGTCCATCTTGCTAATACCGGTTCTGACAGCGGTCAGACGGGGAAGCGTGTGTCCTACTGACTCGCTCGCATAGTCAACTTTCTTGCCACGATTTCTGCCACTCCTGCGTAGACTTGCAGTATCGCCGCTAGAGACATTCTCGAGACGAGCAATTTTGGGTGTACTCCTGGTCTCGTCCTGGTCCGATGCTTCTTCATCAGCTGCCTTGCGCTTGCGCGGTGCCCGGGGCTTTTGAGACGACTTCTTCACCATAGGTGGAACTAGCTCGCCCATGGACAGCAGTAGTGCCTTACTACTTGCACGGGCATTCGCGCAAGCCTCGTCATATTCGGTCCATCCAGAACCCATCAGTGTTATTGGTACTTAGCTGAGGTTCAAGTAATGCTCAAGCTCAAGGTCGGTGGCGAAAGCTGACTGTCGCGGACTCGCGAGTCGCGACGCGGCCTCCTCAAATACAACCTGATCCACGTGATCGCGAAGACGCGGTCCGACTCCTTAGACTCGGACCTTCAACTCGAAGTCTAAGTCACCACTAAGTCATTCATTGACTCCAAATATTCAATACAATTCGTCTGTGTTCGTCAACTACTACAACGGCCCTTCCGCTACTGAGTAGTGGTCATGAATATCGCCCAGGGGTGAAAGCCTCGGAATTGTGATAGCTAGACCAGTGGGTCTTGAGGCTGCTTGCGGTCTGAGGATCTGTCTCATACCATCAGCAAGTATTTCAGATGCCCCCAAGACCCCCAAAACCCACCTCTATTAGCATTGATGTTGAACTGGGGTAGATAAATGCCATTCTGTGCTGGGCTCGTCGAACCGGCCAATGGTGATAAAAGTAAATCGGACAGTCCCTTCGATGGACTGGAAGCTGATATGCTAGGAGATGAGAAAGCTTGATGGTGGTAGTCCGCGGAGGGAATATTTGGCCGGTCGTGCATGCCGACTACGAAGCAACCATCAAATACTGCTTGGAATTCTATATATCGACTGAGATACTCACGAGCAACAAACTTGCACTTTCCCTGCTTTGCAAAGTGGCATTGGGGACCTTTTGGGCAGCGATGACCCATTATGCAATTCTCTCCATTGTGGCACAATTGCCCTTGCGATAGCCTCCGAGTCAGCATTTTCGATTTTGGGCAACCTGGGGTATCGTACCTCTATTAGCATAAGGGCAGGGCCATTTCAGCGCTGATTCACGCAGATCTTCGAGTTGTGCAGGTGACAAGGCGTAATCGTGACAAAATCGGCAATTCGATCCATGTTTGCATTGCGCAAGATAATAGAAATTGCAAGGCGGAGGTCTCACTAGTAAATATTTAAGGGGAAAGTTCAGACAGGGAAAGAGAGCAGGACGCACGCTTGCTGAGGACCTGTAACAAAACAGGGATTATTGACGATACTTGACATGTGCAATTTGGAGCAGACCTGATCAAAGTCGACATGTTTCAACGATCTTGTAGGACTGCCGCTGTCCATCATTGAAGGCGTGGACGACTTGCTGCGGTATTTTTCAATGTCTGGCGGAGGCATTGATTGAGAGATTGACTGCGCCTTCTCATTTGGCGACTGAGTCCTCTGATTTGGTGATGATCCCTTCTTAGAAGAGTTAGTATACAGCTTCTTCTTCATGAAAAGGCCCTCTATCTCGATATTTGGTAGGTCGAGTCCTTTGATTTCGTATGCTAATTGCTTGTACCCTCGAAGAAGAATAATTTTGTCAGAGAATCCCTCGTTGTGTAGGTGGGTGAGGGTCGAAGTGTAACCGTTATCGTGCGAACCTGATCATTTATCTACATTTGAATGCGACAAACAAATGAGAGGACTCACCTCCAAAAAATACCTTCGAAGTTTGCGGAAAGCGCGTAAAGACTCGCAAGCACTCTGGTTGAAGAGTCAGATGTGAAATCAAATATCTGAGACTGCACACATACCTTTTACCTTAGCATCAGCAGCTTCCTTACCGATACCAACGTCGACGATTGAGAATAATGGGGATGCCTGGTTAAAGCCAATGACAAAATCTTCGAATTGCTCAACACTGCACACATTGTTGTATGTCAACGTTTCCAAGAGTCCGGCTTTGTTACAATAGATAGTGAGCCACAATTGTCCTCGTCCGGGAAGTGTCGCATCGGGCGACTCAATGCTTGCGAGGTGGTCGGTTAGACCTTTCGTGAGAAGCATCGCCGCTTGACGTCCCCCAGCCCGACCCATTGATAAAAGATCTGAAGAGAATATATTGCCATCTCCATCAATAATGCATAAGATGAGAGGGTTGTCCTCCTGCGATGAGGTAGGGGCTCGTTTCATTAAATTGGGTGACAATAAGGAAGCAAACGGCCGACCTTTAAAGAGTCGATGCTGCGCTCAAGCTTGGAGACAGTCTTGTGCAACGTTTTCTTGTCATCATCTGCTGTCTTGAGGGCCGCTTTCCATACAGACAGTTCTCTCTCTAGTTCTTCTACTCGAGTCTCGAGTTCCACGTTTCTCGCAATCGTGTTGCGGAACAAGACTATGCAGATAGAGTCAATACATACACAGCACACAGAATAGATATGCCGCACGGGTCTGCTCGTTGAGGAGGCGGTCCCTGTAACAGACCCGCCACACGCGCGGCGGTCAACGAAAGAAG